ACTTCATTATTTGTCTCACCTCCACAATTACTCTGGAATCATTTGTTAAATGAATGCATTCTGGGATCTATCCCTAATGAACTGCAGTGGAGATGCTGTCTCCTACCATGCAAATTAACATTTATGTCCATGTTCTTTCCTAAGTTTTAATCAATGATGTATCCATGTAATGATATTTCTTTTTATCCTCTGGCTGTGTAGTGTCTTTAAGAGATTTAAGGAACCTTGTGTTAAGATCTCTTGAAATCCAATCAAAATAAACTATGTCAACACAAATCTCTCTCATCCACATGACTATTGAAGCCTTTTTGCCTGATAAAACTACATATTTGAGCGAATTATATTTCTAATTAAAATTACTGCCCAAAGGATAATTCCTGTGCGTTTTCTGAAAAGAGTCTTTTCAGATGTTTACACTATTTTCTTAAAATATTGATGCCCCAAAGAAAGTGGTAATGACTTTTTTCATAAAAATAATCTTAAAACCTTGCAGTTATCAATAAAACTATATCAGTTCTAAAGGTGAAATGTTCTAAATGAATAAGCATACACAAACACATTTTTTTAAATGTAAAAATGATGTTTAAAGCACACTTAATGTCCACATGCGGCTCCAGGTTTTAGCAGAAACGCAAAATAGATTTTTTTTTAATTTATGTTAAACAGAAATTAGGGACTAAAATGCTCAAAAAATTATTGTGGATTAGGAAGGCTTTGCATGGCTATGTGCACATACACTCATGTACAAATATAGAGCATTATAGCAGATCATGTACAAATATAAAGCATTATAGTTGAGTTCTTCATAATCCTGATAATGGTGTAATGATATGTTAAAAACTAAAGTGAATGACAATTACAGGGCCATCTGCATGCATTTTTCAGCATTCACACAGAAGAAAGAAACTCATTAAACTGTTTTGAAAGACTGGTAACATTTCAACATTTCCTGACTGACTCCACTAATTCTATTCTGACCTAAAAAATATAACAAAAATAGGAAGAGAAATACTTTTCTAGGGCTATTATAACTCAAGCATCTCATACATTTATCTATAGTGAGAAAAGACTATTAAAGTATCCCATACAAATTTATGATAATTGAAATTAAATCAAACTGTCTCTGAACATGATTAATTGTACCATCTTGATAGGGTTTAATTATCCTTCTAAAGTCACTTTGTGGCATTGCACTACATTAGAATTGTATGATTTATGGTGTAGCAAGTCCTCTTTGAAAATTGGTAGTTAAAGTGAATGAAAGAGATGACAAAAATATCTCCTCTTTGGTCTGTTGCAGGACTTACAGAGGTCACAAATTACTGCTGAGCTGCTCTGTGGAAGTACATTCATTTATGCCTATATTTGATGGCTCAAATAAGTCGCTCGACTATACGTGAGTGTGTGTGTATATATGTGTGTGTGTGTGTGAGAGAGAGTGTGTATCTATATGTCTAAAATGTGATTGTTTTCCCCAAAATGTGAAATTGTTCTAGAATATTGTGACGCTGATATACTTAGACACTGGAGACTGATTGTGCAATCTTGAATATGATGTTTTAAGCCATGCAGCATATGTATAAAATTGCTAAACTGGGATTCTTTTGTCTTTCATTCAACATTCACAACCAAGGATATCATCACCAAAAGTTTTTCCAGCCTTTTTTCATTAAATTACTGAGAGCAGAGGGAAAAACTGAACTGTAGATCTCCTTGTTTAAATCAGCACTCTTAACCTGCAAGATTACAAGCTTATTTATCAAGTAATAATTCTGTAACAGAAGCATGAACTCCTGGAATGGCTTGATTTGGAAGAGTCAGGACTGACAGGTATTTTCCTTACCAGTAGTTCCAGCTATCCTTCAAGAGACATTCCTGACTACTAAGTGAGAGTAAGGCTATCAGTGCCACAAAGTAAAAAGACCTCAATAAAATCTATCAAAGGAACCTGCTGAAAGTTGCTTTTAGCATTCACACCAACCTTTTCATGCAGCCAGCTGCAGAGAGCAGGGTTAGCAGCAGAGACAGGAGTCTGGGCACTAGAGCTGGGACTGGAAAGTCAGAAGCTGTAGAATCACTGTGCAACAGTGAACAGCTTACTAAAATACTCTGAATGAGAATACCACCTTTGTACACTATGAGTGTATTCCACACAGTAAAATGTTGTTTGTTTTTTTTTTCCATTTGTTTTGCTCATTCCTTTAGTAGATTGGGTTTGAAATTAAGTTAGTTCAAATATTTACTCCTCTGAAATGTGAAATGGCATCAAAGTCATTCACAGTAGTGATTCATCTTCACATTACTCATTCAGGTTTGACTCATTTTCCCATTGCAGGGATATCATTGTTTACTGATATAATTTCTTACATTCCCAATTACTTAGACATTATAATGGAAAATAAGCATTCATTGAATGAGCAAGATTGACTGTCAACTAAACATGAGTCTGATCCACTCTCAAATCCAAATTCAACTTTCCTGACATAATCCCATGCTAATTTACAAATATAGGGTGAAAACATTCCTTTGGTAGAAAGCTTCAACACACTTAAAGTCTTATTTGAGGCTTAAATCTTTCTTTGTGTGGCCTGAAGCTGAATGTGCTAAGGCATGTCAGTCTACCAGCAGGTATTTTAAGTATATTTTGAACACTCAAGGCCACAGTTAGCAGCAAAGCTGGAAGGTCATTGCATTTAATGTGCTGCTGAGACTGTTATTAATCTTGCACATTGGAGAAAGCCTGATATTATCCGTTCTACTGACAGGGCTTCTCTGCTCTGAAGCATTTCGCGGGCGAAGACGACGATTGTGACTCACCAGCCAGTGTTTAGGCCAGAGGTTGTCTGAGAGAATTAGACCACTTGAACATCTTACTCATCAAATGTTTCCTATAATTAATTGCATTAATTTTAATTTGTAGAGATTTGTAATGCAAATATTCAAGTTGGTACAAATGAAGAATGAATGGAAATGTGTGTGTCTATAGTCACCAGAAGAAACAGCACAGCAAAGAGTTAAAAGAATAACCTGTATTGATAACAAAGGGCATTTTCCCAGGTTGCCCTTCCAGATCACCATTCTTAGTAGTAAAATTGAAGAGTGTGTCCTTTTTTTGTCAAGACCAAAGCATAGAGGACTTGCCAGCAGATTATGCACCCTGACAGCAGGATGGCCACAAGATTGCAGTATGTCAGCTACATCACTGCTTTACCAGCTAGCCCATCTATAAAACAAGAGTACAGACATAGTCTTTATGCTCCAAACAAGCTAAAACAGATGGTGAGCAGCAACCTGGCCTAGGGTTCATGGAGGCTAAACTAAGCAAAATTCTGACGCAAAGGATGACTCTATAATAGCTGATGACCCCTAAAGGGTATGAAAAATTTGTTCACAAATTGACTAGTCATTTGAAATGAAGAGCCATGATAAGGACTCAGTACCTAGAGTGCCTTGGCCTCTGTGTTGCACAAAAGTGATGCTGACCAGAGCACCTCCAGTGCTTGTAAGAATATTCATATAAATACAAGTGAATGGAATCTATGAGAGAATGATTCTGAGTGGGTAGAAGCAGGTTATTTATAAATTTTGTAAATAAATGCAAACTTGCTTTTCCAAATGATCCTGCACTGAATTTTGTTATGCTAAATCCATTTCTCATTAAATGATATAGTACCAGTCTTCAAAAGAATAGCAATGTTCTATGCTTCTTTGATTCTATGCAAAGAGAAAAAAAAAACAATTGTTTGCTTTTCCAATTAATGTATTTTTGAAGCCCGTCTTAAACATGAAAAGGGACTTCATTTGTGAAATATTAATACTGACATCATTAAGTAATGCAGCTTATGATTGTATTTGGTAGATGCCTGACCCATGTATTGAAAGATGCATGAGCAAGTGATACTCTGCATTACCCCTGTACAATTCCGTTGGGTAATCCCATTAGTGTTACTGATCACACAAGGCTAAAAGAATATGCAGCTACTACATTCTTGTTGTTGTTTTTTAAACACACCTATATACACATATATTACTTAGAGAGAGCATATTCCTTATAAAAACTGAACGACATCACCAGTTTGTCCACATATTATGAAATACTACACTTTGTTAACTTTATGTCATCAAAGCTATATTCTTTTAATTAAAAATCAAGCGAGTTAAAACAAGAAAAAAAGGAGAAAAGTGTAGTGTTAAAAATATATTAATGAGTACTGATGGTATTATATTGATTTACTAAATATGTTAAAGCACAGAAAGCTTTGGAAAGAAAAAAAGTCTTTTCATTGACAGGGTCTGCAGCAGGGAGAAGAAACGATATGCTCAGGACATGCTGAAGTTTCTATGGAAATTCACCCATCATCACTTTAAATGTCTAAGTGACATTTCACTCTGAGATAGTCACCTTATAAGCCATATAATCCATGGAGAAAAACAGGCACCTCCACAAGATGATCTGACTGGCTCATCTCAGAATGACATGAATGTCAGTACATGTCATCCAAGAATAAGTACCTCTCAGGGTACTTATTTCCCTGTCTACAAAAGCCACCTATGGTGACAAGCTTTAGAAGTAAATGTATAACTGAATTTAGAAATGACTCTTTGGCCTTGACAGACAAGGGAACATGAATAAATTTTCCTTCTAAAAATGCATACCCTTGAAGTTCAAGCATGCCCCCTCTGCAGCTAGGGAAATTAATGACAAGATAATAAAATATTTTTGTAAAACTCATATTTTTAAGTCTCTTTCATTATTTTATTACTTACTTCTTACATAAAGTAGTTCAAGTCTTGCAAGTTTTTGCATGAAACAGTCCATTCACTTTTCTTTAAAATCTTGCAAAGCAAAACATAAACCAAGTCCTAATTTATGCTAAATGCAAAACCCATGTAAATCCCCTCTCCTTCCTTCCTCTGCCTTCTCTTTAGTTTCACTGGAACGTTAATAATCCCTAAAAGCAAAATTTTACTTTCTGACACAAATAAATAAATGACCATACCTATTATAACGTGCATGCCAAGTCTCGCCAAGTGCTTCGCAGTTTGGTAACCAATTCCTTTAGCACCTCCAGTCACTATAGCAACCTTACCATTTTGTGTAGCGCAAACTATACGGAGAAAGAGACATAATGCAAGGTTAGTTCAAAGTAGTAATATGATTATGAATATAAGATCCACTTTACAGAAGTATACACAAGCATACACAGCACAACAGACCACCTAAGTTGGGCCAGTGAACAGTGCCAAAAACAAACTCTGTAAAACGGTAAAAGGTGTGGAACATTTGACATTATTAACCAGACTAAAATCTTCCATTATTAACAGTTCTGGAAAGACTAAATTTGATGACACAAGAGCCATACATCCAGGCAGAAAAGAAAGGCACTCATTTCTGTTTGCATGCATTCTCTTATCCTGTAATAATCTGTCCTCTGCAAATTTTATCTTAACTTTGTCTAAGGACAGTAAGATATGTGGTACCAGCCAATTCAGAAATTATTTCAATCGTGGCCTCAGGGAAAAGCATCAGTTTGCAGTGAGATATCCTGGAAACTTTGTGAATGGTGAAGGACAGAGCTCTGCCTTTGCTGCAGCAGTAACACTGGAGACAGAGCAAACATCTGCTCCATTGCAAAGCATCACACCCTGGGAAGCTGCTATCCCAAATGAGGTACTTCCTCCTGCCTGTGGACCACCGGGGCAAAAGTCCCCACAACATTAGAAAGGGATTTTTTATTGAATTCACCCATGGGAATGTCAAACAAGAGAATTGGATACTCTCCAGGCTGCTAGTTTGGCTTTGGCACTGAAGCCCAACCTGTTAGAGGACTGAGAAGGGCTAGACACTGCTTAGAATTCCTGTCTGATATTCCCTACATCTTTTTGGTGTTTTTACAAGTACAGAATTTGCATATGAAACGTATGTCTCCTTTAGCAATGCCAGTGAATTGCTTCTGCTTGCGTCGTCTTCAAAATGATGGGCAGTATTGTGAAACCCTTACTCATGAGAGCAGTCAAGGGACCCTACGAAGGTAAGCAATTTTCCCCTGTGGATGAGGGTTGCATCACGTAGCTGGTAGGAAATGTTCCGGCTGTACCAAGAAAGATAGATTACTCCAGCCAGAGAAGAGCAAAGGTTGCCATGCGGGGAATTTAATGTGATTGTCTGGGGTAGACATAAGTCAAATATAAAATACGATTTTGGATGAAGTGGCAAATCTGTCATGTGAATCACGTCTGGCTTTTACACTGCTGAGGTGAATTTCTAATTTGCTTTTTAAAACAAGCCGCTAGACCCTTGTACAGGAAAAAAATGCATTGAATATTTCATTTTGCCACAGTGCAGCATCTGTAGGCAATGTTATAGATAAAAAATGTTCAAAAGATGCCAACTTTCATCTGTCAGAGTGCTTTCTGATTTGTTTTCTAGGTTTTAGGGAACCTCCTTGTTGTGCAACACAAGCTTATTTTTATGTAGTTATAAAATATAGCAATAGTGCTAATACTGATTGCTTTCCTCACAGCAACTTCAAGAAAGACATGGATTTTATTTTTTCTTAAAAATGCAGTTCTCTTCAGTATGATTCAAACTGAAATTCTCTTTTCTTTGGGCAACTGTATTATTTTTTCCTCCAGTATAGAGTAGGAATTATTTGCTATTATTTGGAAACTTAATTTTTTTCAATGATATCCATGTGTACATGTGTCCTAATATATAATCTGAGGTAAATAAAACTCTACCAGGAGTAGAGTAGCAAGAGGTTCAGTTATTTATATGAACAGCCCTGCTTATATCCCCCAAAACTATTTGTTGTCATAAACTCTGAGATGTCCACATTATTTTAAAAGTTAAGATTAGAAGTTACAGTTAAGTTTGATACTAAATACTCAACTAAATTTTCAAATTCATGTAGTTTTTTTTAATTGAACTTGACTTTTTCATGTGATGTTTTTCCTGATCTGTTCTTTGTCACTGAAACAGAAGAGGAGAAAAAATTAAAAAGGGGAAAGTTTTGCAGCTTTTGAAAATGCAAATGGAAAATGAAGCTTCTGAAGAGGAAAAAAGTGTTTTTAGTGTGATACAAGATGTCACTTCTCTGTGAATAGCCCTTGTGCTTCACTGAAATCAGGTAGATCTGAAATTTGGCAAGTCCATAATTTCAAGTCCTTTCGGGCACTGCATGAAAACCACTGCCTGAACAATTTCAGTGCTTAAAAAGGGAAAACAACAGGCGTGCTCTGTTCAGCTTGGGTGGCTTTTTAGACTTCATGAAAACAAAAACACATTCCCTTGTGCCAAGGCTGTGCAGAAGAAAGGAGGCAGGGCTCTGAAACAGACACCGGGCAATACTGCATGCAGGAAGGCAGGCAGTTCGGATAAGCCAAATGCAGAAACAAAGGACAGAAACTGCAAGAAAAATAAACAAAAATGGCCCCCAAACCGATAGGATTTTGAGGAGGAAAATCACACATATGTTAAAAGAGCTGCTCCTCAAAGCTGTCTTTGGCACAGAATCGTATGTCCGGATTCTGCAGTAACTCCTTAAGTGAGTTGAGTCTACACGGCAAGACCCATGGGGAGGCCTTTCAGAAAAGGCTGAACTTGTTTCAGTGCAGGTAATTCCAAGGCACTGCACTGGTGTTAAGGCAAGAAAGGCCGTTTCTGGGCCTTAGGTGTGTGCAGCCTGCATGCAGGAAACACATATGTATTTGTAAATAAAACTTCATCCAGAAGCCAAAAGCATGCTCTTGTGTCCACTAAGTAATTTTCTTTAGAAGTTTAATCCAATCCTAATCTATATTGAAAATTCTCCTATGAAGGCTTGTAAAGCAAGTTGCATAAATTGCATAAATGCAAGATTTGTTTCCCATAACTCTTCCTTCCTGTTTATTTTTTAATCTTCAATTTACTCTGTACAGTAGGGTATATGATCCAGAGGGGAAAGGAAAGTAATTTCCATTTCAGCTGTCGTGAAACAAATAAACAACTACAACAACAACAAATTGTAACAAAGCAACAAAAGGAAATTCCTCAAGAACTGCTTTGTTTAAACCTGAGTGTGTTATTTTCCTTCTCAGCTGTCTCCCAGTGCTTCCTTCTGCTTCCCTGCTTCTCACCACCTTGTCAACCTGCGATTTCAATTTTATGTTGTATACATGTCAGCATTATATATGCCTATCAAATAAGTTATATTCTCATGCCAAAATAATTCACTTAGAATAAAATGAGTGAAAGAAGAGGAGAAAAAATAAGCCAGGAATAGGAGAGGAGATAACCTGAAGGAAAAGGGGAAGTCAGAAGACCTAAGTGATAACAGATATCACTATGATAAAGTGGTGTTTAGCAGAGGACAGTGAAAGAAAATGCCTGGTCCTATCTTATCCATCACGGCTACAGGACAGACAAGGGAATTTTTGGTCACTCGGAGGAGGTACATTGCCAGCTTACAAGTAACATCAAGGAAGACACACAGACTTCGCTGTGGGGATGTATTCAGCACATAATATTTTAAAACAGGCCTTTGTAGCAGCTACCTCCAACGACCTAAGAAAGCACTCCAGAAAATGATGATTTTTTTTTTCAAGGGAGGAATGAGGGTTGCAGACACACTAGTAAATGGTAAACATCTGTTTATTTAAAATGGGTACAGTATATAGCTTCCACAGAATACGGTTTTAAATAGGCTTAACACTACATATCACACCTTAATGTACCAGTTTCTAAATCTAAAATGGGAAAGAAAAAATGCACTGAAAACTGAAACAAATATTTTGGGGAAAAAAAAATCCCTCCCATTCTTATTTTCTTCCATCAGCAGAACAGGTGCAATTTTCCCATCCAGAGAGACAGCCTAAAATAAAAAAGTGTCTCTACGAATATGAGATGCTGTTAGTTTTTATTTCACCACCGCCAGCCAAGACCAAATCCAGGCGCAGTGTATAAGTCAGCTCTAACCCCTTACAGTAAAAAGCGGCCCGCGAATCCTCCTGGCACGCGGCTGAAAACACCTTTTTCCCAGCGCGCCCAGGCAGGGGCCCCCCAAGGCAGACCCGGGCGCAGGCGGCTGCTCCCGCAGGCGCCGTTTTGTTTCGCGTGGCAGCTTGAGCTGAGCGCGGCCCGGCATGAAGAGCCCCTTGGGGTGGGCGGCTGCGACGTCCCACCGGGTCTGCTGCACCCGGCAGATCCTCCTGGATACTTCTGGCACCTGTGTGAAACATTCCCGCTCGCTCTCTGCTTCTGCTCCCGAGAAGCAGGTAGATGCTCATCCCGGTGACGGAGGGGTAGCTCCGGTTGCACGTTGAGCTCTTAGAACTGCAGTAGCTGATGCTGGTGGAAAACCCTGACTGGGCTCTCTCTGCTCATTTGCCCTTTATGTTTAAGGAAACCCGCCCGCAGCCTTCACGCACTGATTTACCCAGCCAAGTTAGGACACAGGATGCTCTCAGGCTGAGGGCTCTGCCTGCATCTCAAATTATTCAGAACAAATAAGCTCATCTACTCTGAAAATGGTTTCAGCTAAAGTAGAAAAAAGGCAGATTTATTCTGGAGTAAGAATACGAAAGCTCAAATATGAAGCTCTTTTAGAACAATTACTGCATTTTTAAGCATACTTTTCCTTAGTCTGAAATAACCTCCATGTATAGACAAATCCTCACACACACTATAAGGAATTTAAGGCAAATTCTGTGTTTTTTGAAACAAAATATAAATACTAATTTTCTAGATGCTCTTAAAGGGAGCTGACAAGATGTCTGTGCGATTGCTAAAACCACAGAGAAATAAAACAGAATGCTGCTCTGTGTCAATTACCAGTCCCTGCTGGCAAAATCTCAACTTCAGGAGTAGGAATGGGGATAATTAAAGTAGTCAAAATAAAACAGAAGTATTAAACTGTCTTCTTTGTACTATGTAAACATGGAAAATGCAAATCCCAGAAAAAGAGCTCCCCGTAAAAGTTGATTGCTTTGGTATTCTGCAAGCTTTAAAACACAGTCGGTTCAAGGAAAAAAATATATATATATTAAAAGTTTAATATGAAGTACAAAGTAAATTGCTTCAAGTTTTTATTAAGTCTCGTCTCTTTCTCTATTAATCCTGCATCTGCAT